ATGAAAGCAGAGCATCAGAGTGTAGGGTGAGGACAGAGCAGGGACTCGGCGTATCACAGACAGTGCATGCCACCTTCAACGGGGCAGCCGAGGGACCAGAGCACAGCTCTTCTGAGTCCGCAGCCCATGCGAGGCAAGGTCGTGGGGGAAGCTGAGGAAGAACGACTGGCTACTGGGAGTGGCCACCTCGTCCGGGGACTGAAAGGCGCCCGCCAAGCAGAGGTCAGCCGCCGCGGTCCCCTCGAGCTGAGTGTCTCGGCCAGGCCAGGAGGAGAAACCCGACCCTCTGCCTGGAAGTGGGGGTAGGAAGGGTCTGTGACCGAGGAAGAGAACTGTTCCTTTAGTCCTGTCCCCTCGGACGGGCGTTAGAGATCCATTGCACCTCTGCCCGAGTTCAGACGGCCAGAGCAAGGCAGAAACCCGCCCGCCTGCATCTCCCGGACAGCCGAACGCAGGCGAACCCCTGAAAGCTCCTGGGAGCCTGCCCTGAGGTTTCTGAAAGCCCGGCCAAGGTCAACTGGAAAATCGGCCCTTCCTTGGGACCCAGAGTTTCTCAAAAGCTCCCTTCACAAACTGAGAGATGACTCAAGGGACCGGAAGAGCGAAGTTGGAGATGGCCCCGCTTCTGGGAAGGCCGGCGTGGGGTCATGGGAGGCCACGTGAGTGGGCCACGGGGCGGGGGAGGCGAGGCCAGACCCCCGGGAGGGTGCCCCCAGCCCTGACTCGGGGAACTGAGGGCTGTCTCATGCACGGAGACATCAAAAGCGCAGAACACAAGGGAGCGTTTGTGCTGTGTCCCGAGACCAAACTCGAACGCGGTCACAAGAAGGGACTGTCGTGAAGGTCTGGTCGTGGAAGTGTTTCCATTTCTCAGTGCCCAGAACAGACAGCTGTTGATGGGGTGCAGCGGGCTCCCCGAGACAAAGGGCGACACTCAGCCTCAAGCCGCCGGCACATTGGGGAGTGGGTCGGGGGGGAGGGCGAAGGAGGGGCTGTGTGGAAGGAGGCTGGGTGAAAACCCAGGCTTGCTGTAGGCACAGAGACAGAGCTCGGATGTTTAAAAAATCATCCAAGTCATTCACACATTTATTGAGCAGCTCCTAGGTGCCAGGCATGAGGCTGGACTACAGGAACTGGTGACACGTTCCCCTGGGGAGTGGATTGCCTATTGAGGGGGACAGGTGTGACCCGACCGCTGTGGACCAGCATGAAAGATGCAGACGGAGGCAGGCCCAGGATGCTAAGAGACACGGGGGAGAAGCACCATGCCGAAAAAGAAAGACAAGTTTACAGAAGCAGCGCAGAGCTGTGGGGGGGCTCGGTGAATGTTCATTTGAGCTACAGGCAGGAGTGGCCTGTTAACACTTGCAGATCGAATATTCGTGGATGGGAACAGCCTCCACTGAGCCATCTGAAAGGTCCCCGTCATGAGTGAGTTTGATGAGACCCAGGTCTGAATGGCCAGCAGGCCCTGGCCAGCCACTCAGCCAGTGAGTGGGCCGTGCCCTGCATCTGAAGTTCCTTTTTCCACACAGAGAGCTCTGCTCTGCTCCAAGACATCTGTGGGGCAACTGTCAGGCTGGGGTTCTCGATGATTTTTTTTCATTCACAGAGTCAGGGAACTGTGGAGTTAATAAGGTACAGATGTCTTGAAGTAAGGAGTTTATTTTAATGTCAAGGTTTACTTAAGCCACTTTAGAAATTACCTTAGCCCCACGTTTATAGGACCATTAAAGAGTCCCTCCCACTTTTTCAGTTACACTTTACCGCTTTTTATAGTGGAAACTACATGTCATGGTGGCATTTGTGATTTTGGAGACTTGCGAAGGTCACGGGCGAACCCTCTGAGAATGTCAAGAGTTCAAGTCTGTGACTAACGAGTTCCACTTTACCGGCACTCCGCTGGAGAGAGCACGGTCTCTTGTTAAGTCTGAAAACAAAGGTTTCTTTTCCTTTATGTGACTTTCCTCTAATTCGGGGGAGGCTGAGCGTGAGCTCCCAGAAGACAAAGGACAACATTGATGCACAAAACTGCGGCCCGACAAAGAACCCCCTCTGCCAAAGATAACTAAATTCCCCCAACTGCACGCTTTGCTCTCGGCCTGCTTCCTGGAACCGAAATACCTCTGCACCTCCAGCTCCACCCCCCCCCCACCATCCCCTCCATGGACCTCGATGTTAATGTGACAACTCACAGCCTCGATCGGCTCCCCCTTCTGCGCCCTTGCTCTGACAGTCAGGACTGTGAGCGTTTATTTGCCGAAGCCAGAAAATTCAGAGCGGGCCGCACTCTTCCCCCGGACACCAGATCTGTCACCGAGTTGACGTCACCTCTTTGGTGCCTCTCCAGAGTAGGAGGCCTCTGCAGCCCCAGGGCCCTGCTCCTGCTCTGGGCCAGGTCATCTGTCGCCACAAGGTCCTGACACCTTGCTTATAAGGATGCTTGCTCTGTCCTCCAAACTGACAGACAGTGATTCTTCCAATATAAAGCTTGCCTCTCCATTGGCTTCTGCCCACGATCAAGGTGGTGTCCGACCAACAGCCGGTTGGGATTCTGATGCCCGTGGTCTGCACAGAACACCTTGGCTGTGACCTGCGTCTCTCCTTCACACGTCCATGCGGTTGCCTTTGCCCACCCCCTGCCCTCTGTGCCCTCTGCTCCTCTCACCCCTCTCTTCTCAGTGAGCCCCTATCGGCGGTTCCTTGAGCCCCCACGCCAGTGTCACTACTTGGAGATGGCCACAAGTGACTCTTTCCACGGCTCTCCCGCCCGAGCTCCCGGAGAACTGGCCACACTATGAAATCACCCGTCCCAGTCAGTGCACAGGGACAGCCTGTCAGCGGGTTGGTCTTCCGTGACCCCGAGCTCCTGGTCCTGTCTGAATCCTAGGGTGCGGCACCCTGCCCGTCCCTGCAAGCAGGCAGTGTTTGCTGAGAGAAGGGGTTGCAGTCAGGCTGTGCGGCTACCAACCTAGGCGAGGGAAGCCCTCAGCCAAGGGCCAAACAGCCTTTTTACAAGCTACGAAGTGAACTGAGGTGCCAGAAACGTCAAAACAAGGATGAAGGGCGCTGAGATCTCAACCGATTTCTAAATTACTCATCACATCTGCTCTCGCCGAAGACTAACTTTAGCCAGCCTCCTGCAGCCTGTTAGTCAGAGAGTCTCACACTCGGGCACCGGCATTCGTCCCATAATTACAGGAAACACAGAGGAGCTATTGGCTTGGAAAATACAAATGTAAAAAGTGCAGAGAAGCATTTGCTAAACTATTCTTTTTCTGTTTAGCACATTCGACCACAGTATCGGACACCTGACGTGGACCTCACAATATGCAGGGTCCATTGTCTGCGGTGGCGGTGTCCGCAGGACACTTACAGCCAGGCTGCTCTAGTTTCTCATTCATTCCTGCGCGCAGGCAACTGTGGGCCGGGTGCCACGTGCGAAGGCGAGGCTGGGTCCCTAAGAGCCGGGGCTCTCTCCCGGGTGCGTGGACGGATGCACAGGACACGCGCTATCCTGCGCAGTGATGACTTGAATCCAGCCTGGTCCCCAAAAGTGCCCAAGTCCCCCTTGTCCTCGGCAGGTCACACGTTACCTCCCGAAACCTCAAGAAGGACGCTAACCCAGCGGGGAGGTCAAGCGAGGCACAGCCTGTCTGTAGGACGCAGCTGCATTAGCCTCGCCGCATTTCGGGCAAGGTCACTGCCGTTTTGCTGAAAGAGCGTTTTCTGAGAAGGAAAAGATGGGATGAGGGCAAGCGATGAGCAGAAGCTGAGCCCCGGACTCCACCAAAGCTGCTGGCACTTTGGGGACCCCGTGCTGGGGGTGTTGGGTACCCTCCCTCCAGGTCAGGGTGGCGAGAAAACTTCCGGGGCAAATCCAGGGAGGACTTCTGCCCACCGCCCACCAGACCTCCCCTGGCGCCCCGACCTCAGTGTCGTGCGGGTGGGGCACCTGGAAGCTCTGGTGCAAAGCGACATCGCAGCAGGTACAGCGGCTCCCCTCGCTCCTCGCTGTCCCCAGCGTCCCCTGCGGGTCCCCACCCGGACTCCAGTCAGCGCCGCGCCCCACCCTCCCCACGGCCCGGCCTAGACCCCACACCCCTCCCACTCCACCAGGGCCGGGTACCCACTACTCACCCCGAACCCCCTCCCCGCCGGACTCCCACCAGCCCCGCCGGGCCCGGGCCCCGCCCCCCACGCCGACCCCAGCCCAAGTCTGGGCGGGTCCCCTCGCCCCCTGCCCACCCGGGCACCACCCACCGCAGCCCCGCCCCGCCCGCCCGGTCCACGTGTCGGGCCCCACCCGCGCCCGCGGCCCTTTAAGCAACCCCCCCCTCGCGGACGGCAGCCGGAGAGGGACAAACCTTCTGGCTCGCGGCCAGTTTCCTCCGCGATCGCGTCCGGGCCGCCGGGCCCACCGGCACTCCGCCCGGGCCACCGCCCCCGGGCGCCCCCAGCGCTGCGGGGGTGCGGGCGCGGCCGCTCTGGGCGGGGCCCGGGAGCCGAGTCCGCCGCCGCCGCCTCCGCCTGCCGCCGGCAGCGCCGCTGGGTGCGCTGCTCGCGGGGGGCGGCCGCGGTGCAGAGGTTCATGCAGCGGCAGCGGCGGCGGCAGACGGACCCGGCTCCATGCGGCCGCCGCCTCTCCGGCGAGGGGCGGGGGGCTCCGGCCCGCGGTGGGCGCCCCTCCTCGCAGCGCCGCTCCCCTCCCTGCCCTCCGCGCGGGCGCTGGAGCCGGCGGGGGCGCCCACCCCCTGCTAGGAGCGCACGCTCCGCGCGCCCTGCGGGAGAGAGGGACGGGCGTGGCGGGGGCGGGGGCCGGCAGCCCGGACCCCGCGCGGCCGCGGGAGGAGGGGGCTTCCGCGGAGGATGCCCGGCGGCGGCGGCGCCCCGCTCCTAGGTGCGAGCTGAGCCGCCCCGGGCGCGGGCGGCGCGTCGCCATGCGGGCGTGACGGGCGCCCCCGGCTGCCCGCGCGGCCCCCGCGCCCCGCGCCGCGCCGGCCGGGCGGCAGGATGGGCTGCATCCAGAGCATCACCTGCAAGGCGCGGATCCGGCGCGAGAACATCGTGGTGTACGATGTGTGCGCCACCATCGACCAGTGCCCCACGCGCATCGAGGAGACCTCGCCCATCGTCCTGCGCTACAAGACCCCCTACTTCAAAGCCTCGGCCCGCGTGGTCATGCCCCCCATTCCCCGCCACGAGACCTGGGTGGTGGGCTGGATCCAGGCGTGCAACCAGATGGAGTTCTTCAACACCTACAGCGACCTGGGAATGTAAGCGACCGGCCGCGCGGGGCCAGAGCGGGTCTCCCTCCGGCCCCGTCGCCGCTCCCACCCCGACCTCCTCCCCAGCTGCTCCTCTCCGCGCCCCCGTCCTCTCTAAGCCTTCCTCCCGCCTCCTCGTCCACCTCCCTCCTCCCTGCGCTTTTGTTTCCGCGACAGGGCGGGTGCAGGGAGGCTCCTCGCGACGCGTTTTCTCTGGTTTGCGTCCGACTCCCCGCGAACGCGAGGAGATGATGCGGGGCGGAGAGAACGCGACAAGGAGGGTTCCGGAGACTCGGGTGGGGGTGGTGGGCCGGTGCCCCGGGAGTTCCAGGGCGTCGTCTGTGCTTTGGGGGGCTTTCCGGGAAGAGTTTGGGGGACCTGTAGAGAGAGAGGTGGAATGGAGTGCGGGGGCGCATGGGCTGTGCCGCGCGTGCTTTGGAGAAACCCGAGCGAGCTTGGCAAAGCAAGTCCCTGCGTCCGGCGAGCGGGGCCGGCTGTGTATACCCACGTTCCTTCGGCTGTTGAAATCAAGCCCTGGTCCCCAAGGCCAGGAAGCCTGGAGGCGTTTCCGTCCAGAACCGCAGACTCCGTAGAGCCGCCGGTCTGGCTGGGCGCCCTTTGGACCAGTTCTGGGCGGTGGGAGCAGAGGCTCCGGCCAGTCCGCCTGAGCAGGGCTGGTGGCCTGTGCGAGAGGCGCTGTGCGTCTTCTGCTCTGGGGTCTTTACTTACTCCAGAACTTTCCTAATTGCGGCTCTGGGAGAGATGCCTGAGAGCCCACCGCCGAATCTCCAACTCCTTCCAGCAGCGCCGCTCCGTGCGCACCCGGCGCTGTGGCCGCGGTGAGGACCCTGCCTGGAGCGGCTCCTCCACCACCAGGGGCCGACAGCCTGCCCAGCACTGCACCGCACGCTGGGGCTTGGGCTGCGGCGTCCAGGACTCTCTTATTTACTAAATGTTCATATTTCCCCGCCAGCTTCCTTTCGGAAGTAGACTCTGAGCAGATGGCAACTCCAGCGTTTGGAAAGGTTGGGGCCTGCGGCTCCAGTGGGGGGTCCAGAGCACCCTAATTAGCCTGGAGTCTCTAGGGAAGCCCTTTTCTGGAAAGCCAGCCTCCTTTCCTTCATTAACCTAAAAGTCTAGAGCTCCAGAGGCCAGTCCGGTGCGTGAGGATGTGGGTCAAACCACCTAGCGGCTGCGGCAGGCTGCGGGCTTTTAGTGCGCCCTGGGAGCCCGGGAGCTGACGGCTCCTCCTAGGCGCTAAAAGGAACGTTGGCAGGTCGCTTTGTCCTCCCCAAGGAGTTTGCACTTTCCGAGCAGAAGGCTCCGCGGGGGGGGGGGGGGACCCCCTCCTGCTGAGGGGTGTGAGCCTCTCCGCCCACCAGGTCTCCACACACTGTGCCTTTCCGGAAAGCAGCTGCGTGTGAGTCGCGGGGGGACATTATTTTGGGTGAATCGAGTCACTTAAAAACAGACACACCCTCACAGGAATGATTACACGTGGACACATGTGTCTCTTAGGGCTGTTTGGGGGGTTTTCTTGAATCCCATTATTTCCAGCTGAGTCAGACAAAGGGCCAGACAGGGCAAGTTTGTCTTCCCTTCCATCTCCCTGGCCTGGTGGCCCTGATGGCTGTGTGACCTTGATGGGGGGTTGGGGACAGTGATTGTAGCCTAAGGCTCCTGTGGAATAGTGTAGGTTGCCTTACTCTCTTGTAAGTAAGCAAATCAAAAACAAATACAGGAAGAATTGTTTCCATCAGAAAGGATCCACGTGACCTCAGAAGGCGCTGAGGTGAGAGAGGAACAGACAGGGGGGTGGAACTCCCCACAGTGTGCGGGAGGGCGTGGCCTCCGGGGACCCCTTTCGGGGGCGGGGTCAGTGCCCCTGGGAGGCTCTGGGGGACCAGTTTCCCCGGCCTTCCTTGCTGAGTTCTCACCCCTGGGGCTGGCTGGAACTTTGCCTTTAAACTGCTCCTTTCAGTATCTTAAGTTGCTGATTCAGGGGAGCAGGCATGGTCCCCCAGGAGCCGTAAGGCCTGCTGTTGTGGGTCTGTGGGCCTGCCTGTCTCGCTGTGTTTAAGGCCCCTTGGAGCTCGGAGTTGATGGAACCAATTTCCACAACATGCTGATGCCCCGAAAGCTTGGCCAGTGCCCGCTTTTTCATGGGAATTCTGGTGACATGAACGTCGCCACAGCCTGTCAGTTAGCATGCCCCCTCAGCCAGCACCCTGAGTGGGACAAACGCCACACCCCGAGTTTTCACCGCGTGCAGTCAGCGTGTTTATCACGTGGCGTGTGAGAGGGGCCCAGTGAGAAAGCTGCCTTTTCAGCAGCTTCAGTGGGACGGTGCCGAGGAAACCCACGGCCCAAAACAGCACTAAAACTCCGTTGTGCGCTTATGAGAAAACATGAACTTCTGTGGCTTAAATTTTGGACATTTCCAAGAAGGGCAGGCTTCTGCGCTGGCTGACGGTCGGAGCTTCCCTCAGTGACCCTGTAGAGGCCAGGGTGGTGAGGACCAGCCCGGTGGACCAGTTGCCGCAGGTGGTCCCGCCCACATTGCTGCAGGCCTCGTCCCTCGGGGAGGAAGGGCCACTCGCCGATTTTCTCATTCCCCCACCAGTAAACACGCATTCGCCAAGGGCCTCGGACATACAGGGGCTGGCGGAGAGAAGACCGGAATAGCGCGACCAGCTTCCCTGGTCCTCAGAGTAGGGGTGTGGGCCCTGAAGAGAAAGCCAGGCTCCCAAACTGGGGGGAGTGGGCAAGGGGAGGGTGCCAGGGAGAGGCTGGGGACCGGGCAGGGTTTTCTGGAGGTGCAGTGGTTGGTGCTGGGCTTGGGAGCGGACGGGAGTCAGCTGGGTCTGAGGGGAGCAGCAAACACATGGAGGTGGGGGGCAGCGGGACTTCTGGGGGGTGGGTACAGTGGGAGATGGGGTGCACAAGCTGGCCGGGCTGTGCGGGGGAGGCCTGGGATGGTATGGTCTGGAAAAGACTAGGTGCAGAATCGAGAGGGTCCCCATGCCTCCTTCAGAACTCTCGGCACTCAGGGGCTCTTCCATGGGACAGGTGACCTTTACAAAGGGAGCTCTGGGGGCTAGAGCCCAATGTCCAGGAGGTTTTCCTGAGCGAGGGTAGAACCAGAAATGGGGTCACGGGGCAAGGGTGGAGGAGGTGAGGCTGAGGTCGAGGGGAGCCGGCTGTGGCCCAAGGCCCTCCTCTGAGCCCCCACGTGTCTTGTCTTCTGGGGCCAAGCGGGAGCTCTCTGGTCAGCCCAGGGCTGGCCGCCCCCCAGCTGCTTCAGCTCCCAGTTTGGAGCTTGTTGGCCTAGGCGAAGCCTCAGGAGGCAGGAGCGCCTAGCTCACTTGTCCTTGTCAGCCCCTGCCTCTGCCACTGTCACTGAAGGTCTGACTCTCCCCGGGCCCCTCTGGAGCCTGTTTGGTTTTATCCAAGCTGGTTTCCATCAGTCTCGGAGCAGCTCTGGCTCAATTTCTTGGCTACGTCCACTCTGCCAAGTCTAGGAGAGACGCTCACCTTTTCAGCAACAGCCCATGCAGCGGGCAGCTCCGTCCCACCCTGATCTCTGGCTCCTCTTAGCTCCGATGCTCTGTCCCAGTCTTCCGTGAAAATTGACTCCACCATCAGGATGCTTGCCATTCTGTGCTCTCCCCGGGAAAGCCCGTCCACTCCGGGGCAGCCAGTTCTTGGTGGGGGGTGCTGCCTGCCCCACATTTCCCCCTGCCTGTCTGGGGGACATCCCAGGCCTCACCTCTCCAAACCTGAACTCGACCTCCACAGCAGCACCCACCCCAAATCCCATTTGGGTGTCAGCGTGCATGTTTCCCCACACCTCCGATCCATCTGCAGGTCCTGCCGGCCCCTTCTCTCCGCGGCCACCACTCCCATCTCAGAACACGTCACCCTCACCGTCACCGTCACGGGCTCTGACAGAGGTTTCTAACCAAACCTGCCACCTCCAGATGCCTCCCCACACAGCAGCCAGAGCAGTGCTTTAAAAATAGAAACGCTACCACGTTTTTTGCTCAACCCCTCGATTGACTTCGAGGCCGTTGGGTAAACTCTGAAGGTGTCTCCCACTCTCGGAATTTCTGCTCTGAAGCCGGGTCAGTCCTTCTCCCACTGAACCAGCGCCCCCCCCCCCCCCCCGGAACTGGCCGCACTGCCCACGACGCCCTTTTTGCGCAGCGCTGTGCATACCTGCACCTTCTCTGGTCTCAGCCACGAGGACCGGCCACCCCTGACCGACCTGGTCCCTTTGCTCACACGCCGTTCCTTGGCGTGTCACCGTTCATCACACGTGAACTGCTCTCACACTCGCAGCCGCCTCGAGTCCTAGAACGCAGGCCCTCTGTTCTGTTCTTCGCGGGTCAGCGGTGCGGGGCCCACAGCTCGGGTCCCAGAGAGTCTGAGCAGCAGAAGGAGGTGAGCTGGTCCTCTGGCCGCACACAGCGTTCCCTCCTCCCCGAACTGTGTGCCTCTCTAGCCTCGAGGCCCCGACCCCTCAGAGCTATCCAGTGTGGGACGTTACTGCCGTCACTTGGCACCTGCACAGCGTCACTCGCTGCTCCTCGTGGCCCCGCCAGTCCCCTCCCCCTTGGCACAGCCTGTCACGTTGCCTGTCCCCTCGGTCTTCTGTGACCTAGCAGGGGCGTTGAGCAAACACCGAGGCCTCACTCTCATGTCCCCAACGAGGTGTGACATGGAAAGCTTGTCCTGGGTTAGTTCCACCTGTGTCACTGACTCGGGGCCCGCCCGGACCCCCGGGGCTTGTAGACATGAGGTTCTAGCTCTGGGGGCTCTGTCCTGGGTGCCCCCAAAGCTGACCTTCCCTCATTCCCAGCTGTCTGCCTGAGGGTGGTTCTGAGCGTGTCCTACAAGGGTCACCCAAATGCCCCCCTCAGGCATTTTGCCCCAGAGGCCCATCTGTCCAGGGAGCCGATGGGTGTCCAGAGCACTGCGCCCCGCCCCCTGCACCCCCACTCCCACTG